GGATAAAAAGCTCCCTTCAATGGGAATTAGTAGCCAGTTACCGCAGTCTCTAATCCCATCAGCCACCCGCTGAGCCGCAAAGCCCTTCAGCAGCCCAGCAGCTCCACTCACGTCTCCCACTTTGATCTTCCCGTGCTCCTCCAGCAGCTTCTCTTTGATCTGGGGCCACAGCGAGTCCGGGGCGTAGAGGCGGGAGCAAGCGGAGCACTTCTGGCCGCCGTACTCGAAGGCCGAGCGCAGGGTCCCGTTCACCACGCTGGCCACGTCGGCCGAGCTGTGCACCAGGTGGAAGTTCTTCCCGCCGCACTCTGCTCTCCACGGGAGGAGGAAGCGGCGAGTGGGGAAGCGTCCCGGGCGCAACCGCCTCCGGCACCTCGGAGCGCCCGCGGCTCCTCCCCGGGGCTCCGTGTCCCCCACCTACCTCCGGCCAGACGCGGGAAGTTGCGGTACCGGTCCAGGTTTTCAGCCACCTGCTTCCAGAGACGCTTGAAAGTCCTGGAAGAGAAGACAGGAGCTGGATGGGAGCTCTTTGGACACGAGGGAAGCATGGAAAAGGCAAGTCCAGATCTCGGAGCCTGTGCTAAACCCGCAGACCCAGCCCCGAAGGAAGGGCCACGCTGCAAGGAGAGGAGAGGCCCCCCGACACCAAGGTGATGGGCACTGCCAAACAACCAAGAGTTTGCCAGCGGTGTCAGGGTCGCAGGGAAGAAAGAGTCCAGCAGAAGTTTCCCCTTCTCTTCCTTCCCCCCCTTCTTTTTTTCATTCTTACTGTGACAAAACCCTTGGCTGCAAAACAATAAAAATGCTAATAAAGTCCCGCCAGGAGGCCCGGCTGCTAATACTAATTTATGAGCTTCCCACCTGCCGGTGAAGTTGAGGCCGCAGAGGTGCTCGGAGGAGGTGACGGCGTCGCCGAAGACGGGCCCATCGGCCGGCACGAACTGGATGACGTTGGGCGGGAGCCCGGCCTCCAGGAGCACCTGGTACACGGCGTAGCTGGCCAGCATGGCCGCGTCGCTCGGCTTCCACAGCACCACGTTGCCCTGCGGCGGCGGGGGGGAGCACCGGGCAG